TATTTGGTCCAACCCTGTAATTATAGACGTATTTGTCTATCAGAGATAGGGAGATATTATAATTACAGTTTTGTGTGTTTACATCCACGCCTAAAATACACAACTAAGTAATTACGGAGTTTCAATAATATGGGCACATCGTTATTATATTCCTGTATGATTTTATATTTCAAAGTAAAATTATTTGTCCAAATAAATGAGTATATCTTCCATTTTTAAGCATTTTTAGTGTAGAATATTCTTTTGTTTTTAATAAGACAGTTGTCAAATTTGACAGATACAGTCTTTTAAACATTACGTTTATAAATACTGCTTTTTGTTACCAGCTTTTGCCCGTGACTCCGTCCGCGTGGTATTAAAAATTAAACTTAATTAGTAGCGTATGTGTTCTTTCTTACTATGCCATTTTCATCAAGATACGTAGACGTTTAGGAGGAACGTAGTAGCAAACATCCATCCATCCATCCATCCGAACTTTCATATTTATAATATTAATACCTATGATTAATTATCTAGTGTTTTTAACTGTCATTTGCTAGTGGTTTTTAGTATTAAAATGATGTATGTCATTTGTGTATTTATTACCAAATCCTGTGCGGTCATGTTCATATACAAAGTGTACCAGAATAGAAAGCCATTTCAAAGTGTGGTATCGTAAGGATAGGTTTCAAATTTTACTGCTCTCTCGCCATTTTTACGATGCGGCGAATAAAATATCAATGTACAGAGATTATAAAAGAGCACAAAGGAAGGTTATGACTTATTTTACAACATACTCCGAAGAAAGCATCTGAGAGATATAAGTTTCTTAGGTACCACATGGTTGGGGAATAATCTATAACACAACTGTATTTTAAACTTTAAAATGTATTTTGTTATAAATTTGTCAGTAATATTATTCCAGTTATTACGAACTATTGTTTTTTTTTGTTAGGAGCGCCGGTAGCTCAGTGGTCAAGCAGTTGAATTGCAATCTGCAGGTCCTGGGTTCGAATCCCGCCATGTACCAATGTGTTTTTCGGTTTCCGATTTACATATGTACATTTATCCGACGTTCTTATGATGAAGGAAAACATCGTGAAGCAACCTGCACATATCTGAGAAGAAATTCAAAATATATGTGTAAAGTCAACCAACCCGCACTTGGCCAGCGTGGTTGACTATGGCCTAATCACCCTTAACTTAGGATAGGCTCCGAGCCCCTCGGTGGGGACGTATAGTGAGCTTTCTAATTTTTTAATTTATTAAAAAATTTGAAAGCTCACTATACTATATATATATAATATTAGTATAGTATCGACCTTAAAATAATCGAAATAATTTTCCATCAATAGGGATAGATTAATGTTCGAGATAAGTATCAGGCTTTTATACTGATGTACGCGATATTGTCTTACCATGTGGTACTCCATCAAAATTACCAAAACGTAATTGTGTGACGCGTGACGGTGATTGATGGATATCGATACAGACTTAGTACAATGTAGCATGTTACATTACATCTATTGACGCTCGAACATCCCAAGCGATAGCAGATGTTACAATGAAACTTTCGCGAGAAAAGACTTTAATATATTTTGTGGATAATTGCAAAGTGACGTCATGATTTATCTTATAAATGCATGCAGAAGATGCATGCATGCATGTTTGCTAGAATATATGTCTAGAAAGGCTGCATGGATATCGAATGAAATTTAGTATAGATGTAGAACATAATCTGGAAAATCTATTTATTAAGTTTTTTTTAATTCCATGCACACGGGGTCAAGATATTTCTAATTGTTTGGATTGAATATATAGCCAGAAATAAAAACTAATTTTATAAGCCTAATGAAGAACTCGCGTTGTGATTATTTTTTCACGTTATTAATTAGAATCCTTTGGCGCGAATGTCGCGCTTTCATTACAAAGTCAAGTGTCAGAATGATTAGTGAGGGGACATAAACGTCGACATTTTAGTAAGGCTAGTGTTGCGCCGGTACACCGGCGTAGTGTAGCATTTTCTTCCTAACAGTATTTGGTTTAAATTAAAATGCAGCTAAGTGATGAAGCTATTTTATCTTTAAATCCTCAGTTACGTTTTTCTTTAATCAAGATTAGGTTATTTTTAACTTATTTATAGTCTTCACCTAACCACGTTTTTCCACGTAAAATTAAATTACCTCGTAATAAATATGAACGTGATTTAAATTCATAATCGAAATTGTATCGTTAATGATTCTCTGTTGCTGTGATATGAATTTGTAGCCGCGAGCAAAACTGCACAAAGGGAATATCATATTACATTTTACACTTAATTAACTCATACATTCATTGATCTTTGAACACGAAATACAATTACGTACCTCTATATTATATTAATTATAATAGACTTCACAATGATATACGTATATTAACAGTGGTAGAGCCCGCTTTAACATCTTCGCACGAATTGTCCCGGCTCGCCCGGTGAAATACCACGACCACACAGAAGACAGGCGTCAAGTGGAAGCAATTCCGCGTTTCGTCTGATGAGTGTGCGTCCCGGAGGCCTAATTTAGTCCTCTTTCCACTTCCCATCCTTTCCTTATAAGGAATGGAAGTGGAAGTGGACTTTCCGGATGAGAGGATGCATGGAAAGGGAAGATATTTTCTTTCTGTGCATCCTCTCCTCCGTCGATGAAAGGTAGGCAACGCATATGCAATTGCGTATGTCTATGGGCAAAGGTCACTTCGCTATTTCAGCGATTACGGGTGGCCGCTCGCTCGTTTGCCACCTTTTGATATAAAAAAAAATTATCGGAGATTTCCGAGCGGTTTATTATTTAAATGGTCGATATTATTATCTGATACGGCTTTGTTCAATCAGTGCGCAAACCGGCGCGGCCGTTGTCTCTAGATCAAACCTATCACTTGTCAAAAGTCCACGCGCACTGCTGACAGACACAGTGACACTGACATACGTCAATTACACGCCGTACAAACAATGTTGCCATTCGAATGAAATAATTAACGTCATAAATTGATATTTTCCGCATTTACTAACTAGCTGTCAACGACTCCGTCTGTCATAGGTTATTCGTCAGAATTATTACAAAAAAAAACTTGGGGAGTAGTCTATGTGTTCTTCCAGACTATGTTCTACATCTGAATCAAATTTCATTAAAACCCGTTGAGCCGTTTCGGAGATACCTTCAAACATCCATCCAAACATTCGCATTTATAATATTAGTAAAATAAATAATTATAGTCGCTTATAAAACGTTTTATAATTTATCTGTAATGTTGTTCCACAACGTTTGATGACAAATTAAAAATACAATTATTAAAAAAAAAATTGAAACTACATAAACTAAAAAAAATAGAGACTTCGCTCCTAACACTTGTCCATACTAATATTATAAAAAAGGAAAGATTTGATTGTTTGTTCGTATGCATTGAATAAACTATTGAACAGATTTGAATAATTTACTATTGGGAAGCTACAATATTCGCGGATAACATAGGCCATATAATTATTACTAGATTTTTTTTAAATTCCCACAACGACAAATTTACGGTAAACATTTTTAAAAAGTATTTTACTAAGAAAACCTGTTGTACAAACTAGCATTTTAAACATACATTTCGTATTACCTTCACTAGGAAATATGGCTTGTGCTTTAACCATTGGCACTGTATTTGCTGCGGCTTGTGGACAAAAGGCCAGGAGATTAATCCCGGCTTTGTCGGTTTAATGCGTTGCGAATAACGTTACCTAAATTGTCATGTCACATGCAAGCCTCTATCCCGAGATTACTTGTCTATTCACGTTTTGGAAACTAATAATTTGGAATAATATAAAGGTCGATAAGATTTGTGGTATTTGATAAAATATTTCAAAGTCACATTTTAAAATATCATCAACCTGACCTTATCTCTATGGAGGGTCGGCACAGTATGTACTCCTCCATACATCTCTATCAGCTGTTATATCTGAATCTGGACCCTTCTTACGCATATCCTCTTTCACACAATCCATCCATACTTTCTTTGATGAAGATCCTCTGTCTTTGTAGACTTAAAAGTTTGAAAGGAGAAAATTGTGTCTTAAATAATAGACCAATCGTTTTTCAGACTAAAAACAAAAGAAATAATTTAAAAGGTAATGTTATATGTAAAGCTGGAAAGCTGTTTTTCAAAAAGCCTTGTTTTCATGTCGGTACTTGTTTTAAAATTTCCATAGATAAGAAATATTTCACGCAAAAAACCTACCTTGTCTAGAGTAAGATTTATGTTATCTTTTGTCTTTTCGTATTTTATTATTTTGATTGTTTAGCTTTTTTATTGTTGTAAATTTTCTTATGATTATAAAAACTATATTTTTTTAAATAAATGTTATTGTAAAATATTTTTTATTTTTATTTTTGCACCCCTTTATTTACTTTAGAATGTAAATAAGTAAATGTTGAGAAATACATATCAGAAAGTTACTTAAAATTGTTATATTTTCCAATGCTAAAGTTCAATATTCGAAAGCATTGTAGAGTCAACACATAGGAAGTTACAAAAGCTACTAAATTCTCATTTCTATATAAAGTTTGATAATTTTAGTACTTCATTGCTATGTGCGATGGAACAAAAAGAAAAAGTTTGCTACGAAACAATTCAAAGTTCTTGATGGAATACAGAATGGATACGTAATTGAAAATTCCGATATCGAATTGCTACCTCTGATGTTTTCATAACTCTACGTTTGTTCTTTTTAACATACGGAACATAGCGCTAGTGTTGCAGAGTTTTCATTCAATTAGGCATGTGGGTATTGCATTTCAAAGTTTGGAACTTTTTATAGGTCCGCACTGCCAGTGTGAACAAGACAATTTTAGTCTGTATAAATGGTCGAATACATTCTGTTTTTAAAAGTTCAATCCGATATACTTTCGATGAAATTCATATTCACATATCCTTTGTTTGAGGCTTTTGTATGTTGTAGTTTTAAATGGCAGTTGTATTAGAGGATTTAAAGTAAAAGAGAGTAGTTTACATTTAATAAATGCCTTTATTTGAAGTCTGTACTATATTACTATTTGGTTTTGGTATAGAATTACATACGCATCATCTGGTCGGTGCTCATGAGCATGACATCCTTGTAGGACCATCGCACCAGCATGTCGGTGTCCAGGTAGGTAAGGTCATCACGTTTCATCACTAGGTCGGAGGTGTCCATGTGCTTCACCGTGTTGGAAAGACCCATGTCTTTCCTGTATACCATGACATCAAAGAACTTCATGTTATTCGTGTAGAAGCAGGTGACGTCGACATCGCGGTCGAAGGGGAAGCCAAGAGGCATGCTGTCGATACATGTGGTCCAGCGACACACGCGGCGGTCCTTCATGATGCTCATGTCAATGGTCGGGAGAACGTAGCCAGTGCGCACGGGCGTCACGATCACGAACAGCTGCAGCGGCATACCGCCGAGGTGTCCCAGAGGCAACAGCAGCCTGTGCGGGAAGCCGAGGCGGGTCTTGTACCACCAGTTGTCGACCACACGGTCGCCGTTGATGGTGGCGGTCGTGGTGTCCATGCCGAACATGTTGCGAGTCCAAGGTCTGTCCATGATGACTCCGTGCATGTCGATCGAGTTGCGCACGATTGTGTTCTTGCCAGTGTCCAGTTTGTAGAGGAAGCTGTCGATCTCGACCATGTCGAGGCGTTTGTCGTTGACGCTCATGAGACGACCCATGCAGTCGTACTTGGGACCGATGAAAACGCGGACCACGGCCTCAACCGCCTTGTCGGAGACGACGTCCATGGTGACCTTGAACGGATGGTGGTTAAGACGACGCATGCGAGCCACGTAAGTGTAGTCGGAGCGTTTCTTGTGCATCTCGGATTCATCGAGGTACAGAGCGTTGGTAATGTCCATGTCGTATTCATCCATGAAGGTGACCAGTTCGTCGGTGACGATGCGCTCGATTTTGACTCCGGGGAAGTCGAGTTCGTCGCGCGTGTATCTGGGCAGGAGCTTCTTGAACAGAACGACAGACTCGACGACACGCTTCATCACCCTCCAGAACAGCGGATCACGCAGACAAGTAGTGTACATATCGAGAGCAGTCGGCACATAAGTATACCTGGAAAAGTCGATAGGAAATATGAATAAAAATATCCAGAATCGTCAATATTTAGTAAAACTTTTGTCAAAATAGTATTTCTTGACGACGTATACGTACTTGTTAACATTGTACAGGTTGTAAGACAGGAGTTGCTTCATGACATTGGTGACATGGATGACCTTGGCGTCGTCGTGCTGCAGGCCCATTCCACCGAGGATCAGTCTACACAGGTACTCTACATCTTCAGTCTTCTTTAAGCTTATGGTGGTTCCGTCGCGCTAAAGAATAAAGAACATGGTTATAATTAAAATATTGATAACATTTCAAATGAAAGAATATTATGTAGTACTTACTCGGACAATTTGTCCAGTAAGGATTCCTTCACGGATGATCTTCTCGATGTCGTCCAACAGAATCTTATCCTTCAGGTTCTCTTTAGTAACAAGTTGAACGTAGTTGTGACGGACGGGCATTTCATCACCAGTATGCAGACGGATCTTAGGCCAGTAGCCGTTCTTGAGCACGTCGTTCCACATTATCATCTTAATATCGCAAAGACCGTGAGAAAGACGTTCCAGACGGTATCTGGCCAAAAGTTGCTGGTAGGCGTACATCATAACTTCACCGCGACGCTCCTTGTGCAGACCATAGACATCGTTGGTCATCCAGTAAGGATAGTTCATGTGCAAGTAGTACATGTAAGTGTTCAGGTCGATGTCCTCGGTGAAGTAGGAGATTTTGTCGTCCTTGGAAAGAACATGGCGGACGCTCTTACGCCAGTCGATTACGACTAGGTTCTTGTCAGTAACCTTGATACCGTAGTAGTCGTAGATGAACGGATCCTTGGCTGCTTTGGTCATTTTCATCATGAAAGCTTTGTTAATGATGTGGCTGTCGACAAAGAAGTAGGGGTAGATTTCGTAAGGAGCGGGCATGGTGATACCGCGGCAGTCGAGCCTGTGGAAGACAGCGCAGGTGAGGGCGTAGACGAACATGCCGCCGTTGATGCGCTCCCTGAGCCAGCAGGCGGTCCTGATGAAGGAGTCAAAGTCCTTAGCGAAGTAGAGCAGCTTGAAGACCATGACAGCCTGCTCAATGTGTAGTTCGTTGCTGTGGACGAAGATCTCGCCGCGCGGCAGCAGACCCATCTTGAACATGCCGATGAACTTCTTCACGACATCAATTTGCTGCAAGAAGAGAATACATTGATTTTTCCTTACGAACTTGAAGATTTATGTTTCAGTTTCTTAAAACAAAAAAAAAACTTACCAAGTACTTGTCGAGGTTCTCCTCGAGCACGTACTCGCGGGCGACCTCCTTGATGTCATCGTACATGGTCGGCTGCAGGATGTGGTTCAGCAGTTTCATTATACATATTTCCTTGGTCTTGATGTCCAAGTTCACTGTACAATAAAAAATAATTTTATTACCATGGCTTAAAGAACTTAGTAACAGATCGTCTTCATTATCTCAATACACACTGGATGTCGCACGCGACTCCGTCTGCGCAGAAATAACAAATACTTAATTAGTAGCCTATGTGTTCTTCCAGACTATGTTCGAAATCTTTGCTAAATTTCAGCGAGATTCATGTACTGGAGATACCATCTAACAAACATCTATACAAACAAACATTCGTATTTATAATATTAGTATAATGTTAAGGCTAAACTTATTATATGCTATTTTGCTACGCCTAATTTATTGGAAGGGTAAACAAAAGACGGTATCTTCGATGTAAAACAGTTTGCTTAAAAAAGGATTATAATTTGACGGAGTGAAGATATTTTGTAAACTTTTGCTATCAAAGTGAAATTTTCCACGGAGACAGATTTTATTAAATTAAACAAAATAAGCGCTACGAAAACTTAGTCGTGCTTCGAATAAAACTTTAACAAACAAAGCTTCAGTTACGCGGCGAGTATCAATTTTATAAATCCATGGAACTGAATAAAAATTTTGATAAGTTTCTCAAAACAAATTTATAAAGCACTTAAGCTCGCTTGTTGTCTAACTTAGCCTTAGTTTTAGTACATCTGCTGTTTTATTAAAAAGTAACTTATTTTAAAATAAACCGTCTCATCTTACTAATATTATAAATATGAATGTTTATATGGATGGATGTTTGTTAGAAGGTATACCAAAAACAGCAGCATGGATATCGCTGAAATTTGGCATAAATGTAGAACATAGTCGGAAAGACAACATAGGCTACTAATTATTTTTTTTTGAGTGGCGGGTGACATTTAGATAAAAACTTCTTAAATTTCTAAGTGACGGGACATTTTATATGCAAAAAGTCTAAGAACGAACAATAAATATAGCAATTGACAGGACGACTAAACAATTAAAATTCGTATCCATTCTTCTATCATACACAAACCACAAATCTCAAGAAAGCAATCTATAGTTCAATTCTTTCATCCAAAGTCCAGTTCTAAATAAAGTACTAGATGCAATATTAAAATATTTAACTTACTCATCATATCCTTTCCAATAAGATAACCATAATGGTCATCCTTGACCACGGAGGCCGTAGCCACCGCGAGGACCGCTGCCAACCACACCAACTTCATGTCTACCGTGGGAGAATGTGCCTGATCTTCATTACACACGGCTTATATACCCACTCATAAGAAAACAACACTATCACCAACAAGCATATTGTTTTGGCATCACCTCTTTGATAACGATAACCTCTTTCTTTACGTTTCTTTTTATTGCCCTTGCGAGTTCGAACAACGCAGGTGATTGAAAGGGATCACTATTGCTTAGTAATATATCAACTGTACAGACTCCCACACAATTTACATCTCCTTCAGATAACAACGACAAGGGTTATTTCGTTTTTTAACGTTTAAAATCCGTCGACACGTTTTAAGTGTCCTTATGATGATTTTTTGTCTTTAATATTTTTGTTAATTTACTAATATTCCTTGTACCATTCCAAGTAAACTCTATGCTTGTAATAGGACATGGTTTATGACAATAGTCGAATGGAATTAACCTTTAACCTCGTGATCGCAAACCCGTACCCTTAATCTATTGACTATTGACGCTTCTTCACTTTCTTCTTGAAACCTTTCAGGCTGTAATATCAATCAGCCTGCATTTAACAAATTTTATAATAATATATATTAGAGAGTATAAATATTTAGAAAAAGACTTCTTAATTTTAATTTTTATAGCAAACATTGATCGTTAATTTGATCTTAGTTTTATTTATTTTTGAGCATTTTCTCGTAATGCAACTATCTACCTGATCACCCCTTTATTTTATTAAGTCGTTATATTTTTCTTTGATATTCTTGTTTTTTTACTTATCATGTTTATAATAGAGCATTGTTCTATCTATAAAAATGCAGGCGTAAATTGTCTATAGGTTCATGACTCGTATACTATCTCCCTTTGCGACATAATGGATAAACAAGCAATTAACGACACTTAACGCCTAATAATGAACATTCATTATAACAAGATAGCTTGTAACTGACCGTAAAGATTAATTTCTATAGTACTTTTACTATTAACAAATGTTATACACTTTTAATATTTATTTCAACGTTTTTTTCCCTCCAATATTTTCCCCCAGTTGTCAAATTTATGTCAATCTTATTGGCTTACAAAACAGAACTTTTACTGAGAATTTGACAAAAGTTTTTTTAAAGACCACGCGGGCGATGTCGCTGGCGACAGCCAGTATACGTAGATTGGACAAACACTTTTATCTTTCTATTTTCAATGCCATTGAGAGGGATGATTTTTAAATATAGAGTCAATGAAAATTAATACTACAAGTAAGATGCAATTATTTTATTTATTGTATAACTAACTGTCGCCCGCGGCTTCGTCCGTACGGATTAGAAAACACATAGTTAACAGATTAAGTAGTCTTCCAGACTATGTTGTACATCTATGCCAAATTTCATCAAATCCGTAGAGTAGTTCCGGAGATACGTTGATCCATTTATCCATCTATACATTCGCATTTATAATATTAGTAAGATATTCGAATCGCATATACAAAGTTGCTGTCAAATCAGTACAGTTAATAACCTTCAAATTATAAAACAGCATTCAGGTGATAAGTTATATAATAAACATATTGATTGTTACAATGTTGCTATGTTTATATTTTGAGTACGTCTTTTGTTGTCAACTCAGTTCATCTATTTTTATTACGTTGGTAACATTTGTACGACCTCTTGCAGCTATAATAAAATAATTTGGTTTTTTCTATTCTCTATATTTTTACTTAATGTCGAACGCTATGTCAATTTAGTTTATAATATTATATCAACAGATGGCGGAATATATTATTAGATCACGATATTGATTTATTTAGTATGTTTAACGACTTGCTGATCGCATTTCAATAAAGTTGACTCGCACCAAGATACAACCAGTGTTTCATTGTGACTACTCGATACATCTCCAGTGAGAGGGAGACTTTTTGAGACTGCTTTACATGTGGTAGCAGAGCGTGGTTTCGATCCACGGACCTCTGGGTTATGGGCCCAGAGGTCCGTGACATAGATGACACTCGTGATTCTGTCCGCGCGGTATTAATAAAAGACCTAATTAGACTATGTTCTACGTCTATGTCATATTACAGCGAGATCCATGCAGCCGTTCTGGATATATGAACCTTATAAATGCGAATGTTTGGATGGATGAATGTTTGAAGGGATATCCAGAACGACTGAACATGTGCCTACTGTATAAGAGTTTTTTTGCAATCAGTACGAACGGAGTCGCGGGCGACAACTATTAACTATAATATTTTTAACAAACCACAAGTAAAGTTTTAGTATGATTTTATTAAGGGTCTTTAAACTACAATCTCATTTATATTATAAACACAATAATAGTAACAAGATCGTCATTTAATATTTAAAAACAAATAATTTTATCACATCACAGTAATAAATAGTCATAAAAATATTTATCAAACAGTAACCTGTGATTTTTACAGTGGTAGAGCCCGCTTTAACATCTTCGCACGAATTGGCCCGGTTCGCCCGGTGAAATACCACGACCACACAGAAGACAGGCGTGAAGTGGAAGCAATTCCGCGTTTCGTCTGATGTGTGTGCGTCCCGGAGGCCTAATTTAGTCCTCTTTCCCTTCTCACCCTTTTCTTTCTTAATAAGGAAAGGATGGGAAGTGGAAGTGGACTTTCCGGATGAGAGGATGCATGGGAAGGGAATATATTTTCTTTCTGTGCCTGCTCTCCTCCGTCAATTAAAGGTAGGCAACGCATATGCATTGCGTATGTCTATGGTCAACGGTCACTTCGTTATATCAGCGATTTCTGGTGGCCGCTCGCTCGTTTGCCATCTTATGATATAAAAAATCTATTTACTTTTCATAATAATCGATATCGTCGATAATAAGTCGAGTCAGGGATTTTTGGATTCACTCCAGTTAAACATAATGGGGGAAACTTGCACCCAATTTAGTACTCCTACTACAAACGAAACGCTGCATATAGAGCTTTAAGGGTAATCGGCATATATACTAAGTAAAAAAGCCGATTTAAAGTAAAAAAATACAGATGCACGACAGATTGAGGCACGGAGAGTGTTAATTACTTTCAGTAGTCTTCTTTCAAATTTTAGCTGCGGTTAAAAAATCCATCCCTACTCTTTTCATTTTGATTATTGCTTTACTTTAAAAGTAGGTAAGTATCTATTAGTCTTATACAAAATTATTTTCTTTAAATTATTGTAAGTTTTAGTACTTTCATAATTATTTCTTTCTTTGTCTTAACCATTAAAATAATGAAAACTTTCTTTACTTTAGGCAGCTGTTTCGTCTTTATGTTAACTCTTACATTTTATTCGCGAAACGAGGACGTTCAGCCCATTATGAGATGAATGAAAAATAGGGTAAAGTTTAAGAGAGAAAAAATGCTAATTTCACCGAATTCCCAAGAGCGAACTCGAATTGAAAAATTGCCACGAAATATTGAGAATAATTTCATTGTTTGAGCGTACCCCGGTCTTGGGATGGAATGAGAAAATTGCAAATTATACATTCATAGTAAGACAAAGTTTTACCATTTATACAGCGTGTCCTAAAATTTAAAACTTGAATTTTGGGACACGCTGTATATGAGAAGGATCTGAACTTTTCTCTTTACGATATACCAGCCGATGGATAAGAGACTAAATACAGCAAATTATCAAAATTCAATGTATAAAGTTAAAGATATTTTCATAATTATTATCTACTATACAGCTCTTGTCTCCTTGCACAAGGAATTGAGGATTCTATCGTATAGTCGAAGACATTAATTACCTACCCATTTTTTGAAAAAACCATACCTTTTAAGGTGTCAAGTACAGTGAGGTGCATTAATATGTATCCATCTAAAGTGCTCACCTATTTTTGTCATCGAAGGCGTATACAAGTTTCTAAATTGTTTACATATTTATGCAGCTGACTGTACACAATAGCATTAATTAAAATCGTTACTTTTGTCCGCAGACTTTCCGGCACGGGTTCCCGTTCTCGCCGACAGCGCTTGCCTGGGACCCCATACAGAAGCTACTCGCCATTGGTGACAAAGGCGGCAATCTTAGAATGTATCCTTTTATAATCAATGAAAACACGAGTCTATTGAACAGAAAGAAAGAAGATTTATGAAATTTAATAACTTAATACTAACTTAAAATTACACATATCTGAATTAAACTTGATGTTAACCATTTATGGTTATTATGAGTAATTAAGTGATGCCCACACTAAGCATTGCCTTTATCGTGATCACCGATATTCAGATGCACAAAATTACAAACAAAATATATTAAATTTGTCTAGAATTTTATGATTTTTTTCTTTTATTTTACAAGATCCAGTCTCTATGTGTATTTATAAGTAAAGTTAATATTTTTTATCTATCTCTGTTTTATCTATAGTAATACCAATTCAAATAATATTCATACTTCTAATATATAAAGTTTGAATCTGAAAGTAATGTTTTAATTGCTTATAAAAAAATAAAAACGAAAATTTTTGCCCACTGCAGAATTCTTTTTATTAAAAATATATGGCCAGTTATTATCTCTTAACCGATGACCTGAAACTAGTTGTTTTAACCTCATTTGCGATTAAATAATGCAACATTGTATCATTGTTGCTATCAGAGAAAGTCAGTTTTACTCTTATTTATTAACTTGTTGTCGCCCGCGACTCCGTTCGCTTGGAGTTAGAAAAGACGTAATTAGTAGACTATGTGTTCTTCCAGATTACGTTCGAAATCTATGCCAAGTTTTAGCCAGATCCAAACATTCGCATTTATAATATTTATCGTAAGTGTTGATATGTGTTTGAGTGAGCAATTTATAATCAGACTTTCGTAGTTTTAATTCTAGATAGCAACTCTAACTATACAAAAATTAAGCTTTATGACAAATCGAAAATGTTTGATAACTTTTAATGAGCTATGATAAAAATTACGTACAATCAGGGCCTTTCGCGGTGTTCCACTTATAGAAAAATTGCCTTGTTCCTTGCAAACGAAAAAGCAGACATCTAAATTCCTCAAAAATAGCAAAGTGATGATGCCCTGTAGAGGCCTACATTTAGTTACCAGAGATACACAGAAAGTGGATATTTCACTTTCCTATTCCAACAAAAGAAGCCGCTTCTGCCAAATCCAATTTTCCTTCCCATACTTTCTTTATAAGCAAAGTATGGGAAGAGGGAGACATACGGGGCTTGTATGTAGTCGTGGTATTTCACCTGTGGAATTGTCCCATTCGTGAAACATTTGAAGCGTTCTCTACCACTGTTAAAAAGCACTTTAAAATATAACTAGGGACTTACAGTTATAGATACAGACGTCTAGATGACCTTATCTATAGTAAACTTCTCTTTATTATGTCCTCGAGAGAGATTGAAATTGTATTATTGAATCAATCGAATGTCGCTGACCGTCGTCGCTCGTAGTCGTTACGTCCTTTTGTCCATCTTCCCCCCTTTCCTCCTATCATACTCCCCTCTTGTACCCTAGACAAACCGGGACTTTGTTAACTAACAATCGACCTGTTATCTTATTTAAATATAGCACATGTAAAATATAATTCAATGATACGGTAATATTCCTTTACAATGTTTTATACTAGCTGTCGCCCGCGACTCCGTCCGGGATAAAAAAAAAACTATTAGTTCCCGGCAATTATTCGTATTTTTCTCACTTTTTAAACCTTCCCTAGAACACCACGAACATTTCAAGACCAAGATAAAAATCCGTTCAGGCGTTCTCGAGTTTTAGCGAGACTAACTAATTGTTTTAATAAGTTGGAAGAATATTTGAAATTTGCTTTATAATAATTCACGGAAAACTTTTTCAGTCAACTTCTAGATCATAGCAAACTTATCGAAAACAGTGTAAACGTAATTTTCAGTTGGGAAGCAATACAGAATAAACTATCTCTGATTTTTCAATCAAAAATAAGTGGAATAATATTGTTTTTATACATGTATTTCGCAGTGTAAACTCTCAGTAATTCATCGGAGCGGAGAATGACTGCAGAGTTGGCGAGTTTCGCCTCACTGAGCGCTGTAATTAAAATTAAATGCGAACATTTATATGAAAACGAGAAGCGTAATGTCCAATTTAACGTTTTTATCATTACACAATTTATCTTCAAAATAATCACAATTTAAAACGTGACAAAAGCACAGATATTTTCATTATACTTGCAACACTTGATTCGCTAAAAATACTAATGTACTAGTAACAAATTTTAAATTATTGAATTTATTAGAGAGTAAATCCTAGCATGAAGTATTAATTTTATTGTCTAGTTCTTGCCCGCGACTCCGTCCGCGTCTGAAATAGCGAAGTTACCGTTGCCCATAGACATACGCAATTGCATATGCGTTGCTTGCCTTTAATCGACGGAGGATAGGATGCAAGGCAAGAAAGTATTTTCCTTTCTCCGTGCGTCTCATCCGGAAAGTCCACTTCCACTTCCCATCCTTTCCTTATAAGAAAAAGGTTGGGAAGGGAAAGAGGACTAAATTAGGCCTGCGGGAAGCACACTCATCAGACGAAATGCGGAATTGCTTCCACTTCACGCCTGTCTTCTGTGGGGTCGTGGTTCCATCCATCCATCTAAACATTCGTATTAATAATAATATTGAAATAAGTAAGAAGTAGGATTTTAACAGAATATTATCGACATTGTAACTTTATAAATTTTGTCATACATAAAATATAATGTTTTAAGGAGTTTCATACGTAGTCCCCAGAGACCGCCAGCGCGGTCGGATGTCCGGCGATCAAGTTAACCCGTCCATACTAACTACGCAGATACCTTTTCATCCTTTGTTAAATTATACATACCTAACATAGCTTATATATTCTGGCTTATATAAATTTTCATCTTTCATTTTTTGATCTAGAATTCTATGTAAGAAGTTGTAATTATCATGGATTTCAACATTCGACATTGTACAACATTGTACTAGGAGCGTCGGTGGCTCAGTGGTCAAGCACTTGACTTGCAATCTGCAGGTCCTGGGTTCGAATCCCGCCATGTACCAATGTGTTTTTCGATTTCCGATTTACATATGTACATTTATTCGACGTTCTTACGGTGAAGGAAAACATCGTGATGCAACCTGCACATATCTGAGAAGATATTCAAAGATATGTGTGAAGTCAACCAACCCGCACTTGGCCAGCGTGGTTGACTATGGCCTAATCACCCTTAACTTAGGGTAGGCTCCGAGCCCCTCGGTGGGGACGTATCGTGAGCTAATGATGAATGAATGAATGAATGACTTTGTACAATATTTTGTCATAGTTCTTCTCTCTTTCTTTATCACTCTCTCTCTCTCTCCCTCTGTCTTACTACCATGTATTCGAATTCTTGTCTGAATCAGCAATCTTTATTAATTTCTTCCACTTCGCTGTATCCTTAACATGTTCGTTAGACCTGGAAACTCTTTCCGTCTATTGGATACGCCTCTGAATCTATCATGTCTCTAGTTATGTATATAATAATATAATAAACAACAATGAAGCTATATGCTTTTTTTATAAGATGAGAAGATCGTTCACTCGATTCATTGCGTTTCCCTTGTTATCCGAAGAGACGTGAAGGAGGGGCTGCTATTTCTTACGACGTATATCCCTATAGCCAGACTCGATGAAAGTCAAATAGCTTTTTGCATATAAATCAAACACGTTTCTTCTGGAACCATGAATAAAATTGCTTTGATGAATTAAATTACGTAAATTATACTTCGTAACTTAAACATGATTTAACTGAGTTTATGAAAATATTAAATTTTGTATTAGAGGTCGGTAGAGTATAAAGTTTAATTTAGCGGGCACCTGGATTCGCCGAAATAGCGAAGCGACTGTTGCCCATAGACATCTGTAGTTGCAGATGCTTTGCCTAACCTTGATCGATGTAGGAGGGAACGAACAGAAAAATGATTCCCTTTCCTATACGTCCCCTACTATGCCAAATCCATTTCCTTTTCCCAACATTTATAAAAAAAGCATTTTTCCAAATTTCTCCAAATGCAAATGTTTGGATGGATTGATTTTTGTTTGAAAGTACCTCCAGAACTCCTGTATGGATCTCTTTGAAATTTGTATAGAGGTAGAACAAAGTCTGGAGTCTTCTAATACCGTGCGGATGGAGTCGCGGGCGACAGCTAGTACAAAGTGGAAGTACAAAAATGAAATGAAGTCTGTTCATTAAATGAGCAAAGTGCTCGTTAGCTAATCTAGCATCTCAAAAGACGTTAAGGAAACTTTGCTAAATGCAGATTAATTGTCCACTCGTACTAATTGATGTTTCCCGCCATTTTCCTGCTCGAATGTTCCTAATGAACCTCCTCCTTTCGGCCGGAATTCGTCTGTTGGAAATTAACACTCGACTTTTCGTTTATTAATCTATTTGAAACTTTTCAAATTATAAAACTTTAATTTATCAACTGACAGTTTAGAAAGTTTTGAATAATTGTGTTGAGTTTTCTTGTTATTTCTTTCTTAATTATTTATCGTACAAAACTTTACATGTTATGGAATAACAATAAAATATTTAGTTGTTTATAACTTACGAGTATTTGTCTTTCTTCTTCTTTTGTTGCTATCTTCTAATGAAGGTAGGCGATCATCATAGCAACTAGAACTCTGGACACAGCAGCTCGACATATAGAACGCGCACTTTTTTTTGTACCGTTCGTGCCAATGTGTTTTACGAACTATCAATTTACATATGTACATTTAACCGATGTTAATACGGTGAAGGAAAACATCGTGATGCAAAGTACAAATATTTGCGTATTCAAAGATATGTGTAAAGTCAATTCGCAATGGGTCAGCGTGGTTGACTATATCCTAATCACCCCTTACTTAGAGTAGGCTCCGAGCCCCTCGGTAGGGACATTGAGTGAGCTGATGATGATTCACTATAACCAACATAATATTGAAAATGATCGATGATAAAAGTCTTGTAGATATCTAGTCTGAGCACTAGTTTGCCTTTTTTCTGGCAAACTCGACTTCAAAGTTTCTAAAGTATAAACTCCTAAAGTACTCGTATTTCCTATTAGCCCC